AGCTCAGCAGGTCTGGCAGCATCTGTGAAGAAAAAAATTAGAGTTAACGTTTCGAGTCCGGTGACCCTTCCTCAGAACCGGACCTGAAACGTTAACTCTGATATTTTCTTCACAGATGCTGTCAGACCTGCTGAGCCTTTCCAGCAACTTCTCTTTTTATTCAGAGGATTATAATTGGATTGATATAAAATGGGGGAATGGGATTGGAACAGGGAATGATTAGAGACTAGAGAATTGTGTTTCAGGCACTAACTTTTCTGTTCTACAGTTCATTATTTATCACTGGCGGATATATTGCTTGCATTTCTATCAATCTTTTTAAACAAATACTTCATCTCTTCAGAAATTCTTACAACTACTTGCGAATATCCTTCAAAAGCCAATGATGTACCCCAGGTCCCAAGCAACGGAGTTGCCCAGGAGAAGAGAGAGGCTGTGCCAAGTGCTGACGTCCATGGTGTCTGTAAGGTAAAGGTCCCCAGTAAACATACAGCAATCAATTAAAAACAACGAATCCTATTTGTTTTACCATTTACAAAACAGCTACCCTTAAAAGTTTCTGCTTGAAATCCCAATTCAGTGCTTCTATCCTAACCACAAAACTAAAACCTTCCCGTCCAAAGTCACCAAAAGTGTTCATGGCTACAGTTTATTCTTGTCTTCCTCCCCTTGTCTCCACAGCTTTCAACACAGTCACGCATTCAATTGTTCTCCAGTAACACCTCCTCTGAGACCCATCTTCATTGTATTGCCCTCTCATCTGGTTCCATCTCATAAAGAGTCATACATTTCCGACAGTGCAACACAAGTAGCAAAAATGGGCTCAGTTTTTGTGTGTTGACTAGACTCGGCTTCATCCCTCCGTTGCCTATCTTGATTTCATAGATTTTATTGTTCTGCCTGTTCAACATCAGGTTGAAGCTGAACCAGAATTATTGCTATTATCTTGTTCATGCCCTGTGAGTATCTGGCCCCACTCCTATCCGCTTTCCTGGATACCTGTTCAAACTCAACCTGGTTGTCCTGCTAGACTCTAAACTGACCTTCAAACCCCTCATTCAGTCCATCACTAAACTACCAGCTTCCACCCCCAAAGTATACCCAATAGCTTCTTTGCTTCACCTCATTGGGGCCAAAGTACCTAGTGATGCCCTAGAAACCCTTATTAATGTCACTGTCATTACTCGACTGGATTTACAGTGGCCAAGGCATACAAAGCTATAGGCAAAGTGCTGGAAAATGGGATTAGAACTATTAGGTGTTTGTTTCTGATTGATGCAGACTCAATGGGCCAAAGGGCCTTTTTCTGTGCTGCATATGTCTCTAACCTTCACACTGACAACCCAAGTTACACCCTCCATAAATCTCACTGAACCCAAGAACCCTGCCTGCAGCTGTCTCATGCAAAATTCCATTTACCAAGCACCCCTACCCCTCTGCATTACAATTGTCTGAAATGTGATGGAAACACCATTTGTGCAAATAGACAGGTCATTGTTCTGGCCATTAATTGTCCACTTCAGTGAAAATTGTATCCAGATGACTGTTGTCCACAAAGTGCGCTCACAGCTCCCATTTGGCCCCAGTATTGGGTGATCTATAAGGTTCTGCACTACATTAGAATCTTGGCATCCAGTGTTCTTGATCTGATGTGGAAACGGAGAGAGTGTGGGGCTTTGGGATCAGAAAGGTGCCCTGACCCCTATCTATAGACTTTGGACTCACATTAACAAGGGTTGCTTGGCAGATGTAGAGAGAATCTGATAATAGGGGACTTCTACCTCAGCTCAGTGAAGACGAGATAAGATTGCAAACAGGGAATTAGACTATTGCATTATGAATTAATACTTGCTTTTGACTGATTACATTTCAGCAAGACAGGACAGATTTCTGCTGGGACCCCATCATACAGGTCAGTACGTACTTGTCTCATTGGAAAGCACCATCTTAAATGTGGCTAAATTCAGGACTGCACTAATATAAAAGGAATAAGTTAGCCAGGACCCTCCTGATCCAAAATGCACTGTGTGCTAGAGTGCAAAGCTAGATACTACTGTAAGTTCCTGCATTCAATCCAGCCTCTGCTTTGAATTATTCCAGGAGTCCGGCTCAGAGCTGGCGAGCTGGAGCCCGAGCTTCAAGCACCACAACAAAACAGGGAGGAGGCGAGTTACCTGGACACTGTGTTTCAGGAGGCAGTTACATCCCTCAGATTAACTACCTCGAATTCAGTCAGTGGTCAGGATACAGGAAGGTGTAACTATGAGCGGGGCAGGTAGGGGGATCCAGGCGGTAGCACTGAAGGAGCCTCAGCCCTTGAGCCAGCTAACAGGTTTGAGATCCTTGCTCCCAGTGTAGACGGGAGTGAGGATGAGCAAACTGACCATAGTGGTACACGGAGCCATTGAAGAGGAGGGAGGGAAGAGAAATTGAGTTGTGATTGGGGATGTATAGTCAGGGGAATGGACCCTGTTCTCTGTGGGCAGGATCAAGAGTCCTGAAGGCTGTGTTGCCTGCCTGGTGCCAGGGTTCAGGGCTGCAGAGGAGAGGGGAAAGTGAGAGGCAAAAGATCCAGTTGTTGTGGCCCAATAAGATACCAATGATAGAAAGCAGAAAGAAGTTCTGCTGAGGGAATACGAGCAGCTAGCGGCTAAATTGTAAGGCAGAACCAAAAAGGTTATTATCTCTGGATTACTACTTGAGCCACGAGCAAATTGGCACAGCGTCAGCAAGATTAGTGAGGCAAACATGTAGCTCAAAGATTGATGTGAGAGAAACAAATTAGGGTCATTAGCATGAATACCGATGAAAGAGGGAGTTATTCCCATGGGAACAGGCTCCACCTGAGTCATGCTGGGACCGGAGTCCTGGCAAATCGCTAAAACTAGTGCTGCGGATAGGGCTTTAAAATTGAAAATTGCATTGAAAATTATGGAAAATTAAAAGGGGGGAAGGCTCAGCAGAAGTTATTAAAGTTTCCAGAATAATTAATAGGAAAGAGAGTATGGAAAGGGTCAGGAATCTAGCTTCAGTCACAGCAGATAAGGGGACAACTATGAGAAGTGGGCAGTGACCATAATATGCAGTTTGAGAAAGAGAAGCTGGAATCAGGGGTAAGGGTAGTATAATCGAGTAAAGGCAATGACAAAGACATGAGGGATGAACTGTCTAGAGTTGATTGGAAGGGGAGCCTAGCAGGGAAGGAGGTGGAGCAGCAAGGCAGGGGTTTCTGGAGGTAATTCGGGAGGCACAGCAGAAATTCATTCCAAGGAAGAAGAAAACGACTAGGGGGAGGACAAGGCAACCATGGCTGACAAGTCAGGGACAGCGTAAAAGTAAAAGAATAAGTATCAGAGATAGTGGGACCTGCCAATGCTGGAGTCTGAGATAACACAGTGTGGAGCTGGATGAACACAGCAGGCCAGGCAGCATCAGAGGAGCAGGAAAGCTGACGTCTCGGGTCGGGATCCTTCTTCAGAAAAGAATAAGTATATGATGTGGTAAAGATTAGTGGGAAGCTAAAGGATTGGGAAGCCTTTAAAATCTAGAAGTGGACAATTAAAAGAGTAATAATGGCGGAGAAGATGAAATATGAGGGTAAGCTAGCTAGTAATATAAAAGAAGATTGCAAGAAGTTTTTTTTAGATATATAAATGGTCAGAGAGAGGCAAGAGTGGACATTGGACCATTGAAAAATGAGGCTGGAGCAGTCATAAAGGAATGGTGGAGGAACTGATTCGGTACTTTGCACCAGTGTGTTCACAGTGGAAGACACTGGTAGCATACCATAACTTCAAGAAAGTCGGGGAGAGAGGTGAGTGTAGTGGCCATCACTAAGGAGAAAGTGCTGGGGAGGCTGAAAGGTCTGAAGGTGGATTAGTCATCCAGTCCAGGTAGGCTACACAATTGGAGATCTGAAGGAGGTAGCTGTGAATACTGTGGAGGCATTGGTAGTGATCGTTCAGGAATCACTGGAGTCAGAGAAATCCCAGAGGACTGGAAAATGGCTAATGTAGCACCGCTGTTTAAGAAGAGAGGGAGGTAGAAGACAGGAAACTATAAACGGGGCAGCAATTAGTGGTTAGCACTGCCTCAGGCTAGCACTGCCTAGCACTGTCCACCCTTGGCGACTCTCTGTGTGGAGTTTGCACGTTCTCCCCGTGTCTGTGTGGGTTTCCTCCGGGCGCTCCGGTTTCCTGCCACAGTCCAAAGATGTGCAGGCTAGATGGGTTGGCCATGCTAAATTGCCCATTGTGTTCAGGGATGTGTAGATTAGGTGGGTTATTGGGGGATGGGTCTGAGTGGGATGTTCTGTGAGTTGGTGTGGACTTGTTGGGCCGAAGGGCCTGCTTCCGCACTGTAGGGATTCTATGATTCTATGAGACTGGTTAGCCTGATCTCAGTCATTGTTAAGATTTTAGAACCCATTATTAAAGATGAGATTGCAGAGTACTTGGAATTGCATGGTAAAATATGGTTGAGTCAGCACATCTTTGTCAACGGGAGGCCATGCCTGACAAATCTATTAGAATTCTTTGAGGAGGTAATGACCAAGTTAGACAAAGGAGAGCTTTTGGATGTGATCTATTTGGATTTCCAGAAGGCCTTTGAAAAGGTGCCACAGAGGAGGCTATTAAATAAGGGAAGAGCCCATGGTGTTAGGGACAAGATACTGGCATGGACAGAGGATTGGCTGACCTGCAAAAGGCACAGGGTAGGGATAAAAGGGTCTTTTCAGGATGGCAGCCAGTGACTAGTGGATTTCCGCAGGGGTCAGTGCTGGGACCAAAACTATTTGCATTATACATTAACGAACTGGACAAAGGAACAGACAACATTGTTGCCAAATTTGCAGATGGAACATAGATAAGTGGAGGGACATGTGGTGTTGAGGAAGTGGGGAAGCTGCAGAAGGAATTGGACAGGCTAGGAGAGTGAGTAAAGAGTGGCAGATGGAATACAATGTTGAAATGAGTGAGGTTATGCACTTTGGTAGGAAGAATAAAGGCACAGACTATATTCTAAATGGGGAAAGGCTTTGGAAATCTGAAGCACAAAGGGACATAGGAGTCCTAGTTCAGGATTCTCTTAAGATTAACATGTAGATTCAGTTGGCAGTTAGGAAGGCAAATGCAATGTTAGCATTCATTTCAAGAGGGCTAGAATACAAGAGCAGGGATGTACTGCTGAGCCTGTAGATAGCTTAGCAGATCAGTCTGCATTTTGAATATTGTGAGTAGTTTTGGGCCCTGTACTTGAGGAAGGATGTGTTGTTATTGGAGAAGGTGTGGAGGAAGTTTACAAGAATGATCCCGGGAATGAAGGGCTTGTCATATGAGGAGCGGTTGAAGACTCTGGGTCAGTACTCTGTGATGCCTAGAAGGATGAAGAACAATCTGATTGAAACTTACAGAATATTGAAAGGCCTGGATAGAGCGGACATGGAGAAGATGTTTCCACTAGCAGGAGAGACTAGGGCCCGAGGGCACAGCCTCAGAGTTAGGGGTTGACTCTTCAGAACTGAGATGAGGAGGAATTTCTTCAGCCAGAGGGTAGTGGATCTGTGGAACTCATTGCCACAGAAGGCTATGGAGGCCAAGTCACTGAGTATATCTAAGACGGAGGTAGATGGGTTCTTGATTGGTAAAGGGATCAAGTGTCACTGGGAGAAGGCAGGACAATGGGGTTGAGAAACATATCGGCTTTGATCGAATGGCAGAGCACTTGATAGACTGAATGGCCTAATTCTGCCCCTATATTTTATGGTATTATGGTGTTTAGGTGAAAAGACAAGGTCTGGAGAAGGGGACACCACTAAGGTAGATAGGAGAAAGGAATAAAGCACCAGGAATCAATAAGTCTACAGGTCTACACCTGAACCAGAGGGGTACCAATATCCTGGGGGGGAAATTTGCTAATGCTCTTCGGGAGGGTTTAAACTAATTCAACAGGGGGTTGGGAAACTGAATTGTAGCTCCAGTGTACAGGAGGTTGAGAGTAGTGAGGTCATAAGTAAGGTTTCAAGGTTGCAGGAGTGTACCGGCAGGCAGGAAGGTGGTTTGAAGTGTGTCTACTTCAATGCCAGGAGCATCCGGAATAAGGTGGGTGAACTTGCAGCGTGGGTTGGTACCTGGGACTTCGATGTTGTGGCCATTTCGGAGACATGGATAGAGCAGGGGCAGGAATGGTTGTTGCAGGTTCCGGGGTTTAGATGTTTCAGTAAGATCAGGGAAGGTGGTAGAAGAGGGGGAGGTGTGGCATTGTTAGTCAAGGACAGTATTACGGTGGCAGAAAGGACATTTGATGACAACTTGTCTACTGAGGTAGTATGGGCTGAGGTTAGAACCAGGAAAGGAGAGGTCACCCTGTTGGGAGTTTTCTATAGGCATCCGAAAAGTTCCAGAGATGTAGAGGAAAAGATTGCAAAGATGATTCTGGATAGGAGCGAAAGTAACAGGGTAGTTGTTATGGGGGACTTTAACTTTCCAAATATTGACTGGAAACGCTATAGTTCGAGTACTTCAGATGGGTCAGTTTTTGTCCAATGTGTGCAGGAGGGTTTCCTGACACAGTATGTAGATAGGCCAACAAGAGGCGAGGCCACATTGGATTTGGTACTGGGTAATGAACCAGGCCAGTTGTTAGATTTGGAAGTAGGTGAGCACTTTGGTGATAGTGACCACAATTCGGTTACGTTTACTTTAGCGATGGAAAGGGATCGGTATATAACGCAGGTCAAGAGTTATAGCTGGGGGAAAGGCAATTATGAGGCAATGAGGCAAGATTTAGGATGCATAGGATGGAGAAGTAAACTGCAGGGGCTGGGCACAATTGAAATGTGGAGCTTGTTCAAGGAACAGCTACTGCGTGTCCTTGAGAAGTATGTACCTGTCAGGCAGGGAGGAAGTGGTCGAGCGAGGGAACCGTGGTTTACTAAAGAAGTTGAATCTCTTGTCAAGAGGAAGAAGGAGGCTTATGTAGAGATGAGGCGTGAAGGCTCAGTGAGGGCGCTTGAGAGTTACAAGTTAGCCAGGAAGGACCTAAAGAGAGAGCTAAGGAGAGCCAGGAGGGGACATGAGAAGTCTTTAGCAGGTAGGATCAAGGAAAACCCTAAAGCTTTCTATAGGTATGTCAGGAATAAAAGAAGGACTAGAGTAAGATTGGGGCCGGTCAAGGACAGTAGTGGGAAGTTGTGCATGGAGTCCGAAGAGATAGGAGAGGTGCTAAATGAATATTTTTCGTCAGTATTCACACAGGAAAAAGACAATGTAGTCGAGGAGAATACTGAGATACAGTCTATTAGACTAGACGGGATTGAGGTTCATAAAGAGGAGGTGTTAGCAATTCTGGAAGGTGTGAAAATAGATAAGTCCCCTGGGCCGGATGGGATTTATCCTAGGATTCTCTGGGAAGCTAGAGAGGAGATTGCAGAGCCTTTGGCTTTGATCTTTATGTCGTCATTGTCTTCAGGAATAGTGCCAGAAGACTGGAGACTAGCAAATGTTGTCCCCTTGTTCAAGAAGGGGAGTAGAGACAACCCTGGTAATTATAGACCAGTGAGCCTTACTTCGGTTGTGGGTAAAGTGTTGGAAAGGATTATAAGAGATAGGATTTATAATCATCTAGAAAGGAATAATTTGATTAGGGATAGTCAACACGGTTTTGTGAAGGGTAGGTCGTGCCTCACAAACCTTATTGAGTTCTTCGAGAAGGTGACCAAACAGGTGGATGAGGGTAAAGCGGTTGATGTGGTGTATTTGGATTTCAGTAAAGCGTTTGATAAGGTTCCCCATGGTAGACTATTGCAGAAAATACGGAGGCACGGGATTGAGGGTGATTTAGCTGTTTGGATCAGAAATTGGCTAGCTGTAAGAAGACAGAGGGTGGTGGTTGATGGGAAATGTTCATCCTGGAGTTCAGTTACTAGTGGTGTACCTCAAGGATCTGTTTTGGGGCCACTGCTCTTTGTCATTTTTATAAATGACCTGGATGAGGGCGTAGAAGGATGGGTTAGTAAATTTGCGGATGACACCAAAGTCGGTGAAGTTGTGGATAGTGCGGAAGGATGTTGCAGGTTACAGAGGGACATAGATAAGCTGCAGAGCTGGGCTGAGAGGTGGCAAATGCAGTTTAATGCGGAAAAGTGTGAGGTGATTCACTTTGGAAGGAGTAACAGGAAACAGAGTACTGGGCTAATGGTAAGATTCTTGGTAGTGTGGATGAGCAGAAAGATCTCGGTGTCCATGTGCATAGATCCCTGAAAGTTGCCACCCAGGTTGATAGCGTCGTTAAGAAGGTGTGCAGTATGTTAGGTTTTATTGGTAGAGGGATTGAGTTTCGGAGCCATGAGGTCATGTTGTAGCTGTACAAAACTCTGGTGCGGCCGCACTTGGAGTATTGCGTACAGTTCTGGTCACCGCATTATAGGAAGGATGTGGAAGCATTAGAAAGGGTGCAGAGGAGATTTACCAGGATGTTGCCTGGTATGGAGGGAAGGTCTTATGAGGAAAGGCTGAGGGTCTTTGAGGCTGTTTTCATTAGAGAGAAGAAGGTTAAGAGGTGACTTAATAGAGACATACAAGATGATCAGAGGATTAGATAGGGTGGACAGTGGGAGCCTTTTTCCTCAGATGGTGATGGCTAGCACGAGGGGACATAGCTTTAAATTGAGGGGTGATAGATATAGGACAGATGTCAGAGGTAGGTTCTTTACTCAGAGAGTAGTAAGGGCGTGGAATGCCCTGCCTGCAAAAATAGTAGACTCGCCCACTTTAAGGGCATTTAAATGGTCATTGGATAAACATATGGATGATAATGGAATAGTTTAGGTTAGATGGGCTTCAGATTGGTTTCACAGGTCGGCGTAACATCGAGGGCCGAAGGGTCTGTACTGCGCTGTAATGTTCTATGTTCTATGTTCTATGTTCTAAGTTGTGGGTGGGCATTGCCGACGCTGTACTTTGCCTGGTTCCACCCATATTTCAGTGGTTAATCCGCTCCGGTCTGAGCTAGCAGATTTAGTTACCATGTCAATGTGGCATTACCAGAGGGCTAGTAATGAGGGAGTGCCACACTGCCAATGGTGCTGTTTTTCACATAAAAGGTCAAACCAGGCCCTTTTTCTCTGAAAGTCGACAGAAGGGATTCTGTGGCGTTGTCCAAAGCAGAGGTTTACTCCCACTTGTCCTCGTCAGTCATTAGCCCGCAAGCAGCATCAGTAAAACCAGGCGAGCTGGTAAATTACAGAATTGCTGTTGTGGGAGCTTGCTGAGCAAATAGATGAATGCTGCGTGGCTACACGTAACAAGTACTTTGTTATTAGTAAAGTACTTTGGAGTTGTGAGGAGCTCTATGTAAATGCAAGCCTTCTTTTAAAAAGTAACTTGCAGATTTTAGGGAAAGGAGTAGACTGGTGGTGAGGAGTTCCATAGTTTTTACTGGGAATCACAGTAGGAGACTATTGAGAGTGCAATGAGTAAAGGGAGCTGATTTAAGATAGTGAGTTGTTCTACAATTGGATAAATGTCACTCGAGTCTAGACTCTAAACATTAGTTTGCTCTCTCTCTATGGATGCAGTCTGACTCACTGTGATTTCCAGCATTTTTTTTGTTTTCCATGCAAACCAGTGACCTGCTCAATCATTCATATGGGAATGTAGTTAGAAATAACGTAGTGAGATCATCCTCTGTCTGGTCAAAGAAACCATTAAAGCTCAGAATGGCAGAGTCCATGAAAGATGCAGCTCCCCCTGGAAAATTAGCCCAAAGAGCAAAAGCAGGGAAAGGGGAGAACTCAGACAGAAATAAACCGATCTAAGCTCTTTCAGTTCCTAACTCTGACATGGCCACATTGATGTGAAGATTGTTTGCATGCATTCTAAAGGAGGTTATATTAAGATCATTCATCATAAAGACATCTTAAGATAGTTACTTGATACTGTGAGGGTACAATATATATTGAAGTGAGTGTGTTTCGGGAATAAATGGCCGGTGGTAATCTGCTTTAAATGACATGATTGTACCCTTTTCTGTCACAAATTTTGAGTGAAATTTGATCCAATATGCTGCATTTCTTTTGTAATTCTATTATTTTTTCGGAATTTAGAATTGCTTTGGAAGCACCAATGTAATCTTTACTGGCTCAAAGCAGACTCTGAATGGCTACGACATCACTGCACTTGCAAGGTCATCACTAGTTGGTAGGTTAAGATGAAATCTTTCTCAACATTGCTGTGCAAAATTGAGCTGAACCCTTTCCACTTAGCTATTACCGAGTCGAATGCCCTTTTACCTGCAATAGCTTTACTCTTTGCATGATCTTTCAGGTGAACGAGAGGCCCCAGATCTCCCGAGGTTGAAGCCCTGGTGGATAGGGTGTTGTGCATGTTGGCAATCCTGGGGAGAGGACTGTGTCGGAATTGATGGAATTGGGTACACACGTTGGGGAACTAGAGAGGGATTGGCCACTGCAGGCTGCCCCCACCCTGCCCCCACCAAAAAGTGAAAGCAATGATCCGTAAAAATATGCCAGCTTTTTCACAACAGCTCACTTTGATCAACAGCTTGTCATCTATTTCTGTCAGAACATAATCTTCCATAACTTCGCTTACTCTGATACCAGGGACTAACCAGCATCCCTTCAGCCCGGCAATGCTAAGGGCTTTAATATGGGGTAAAGGTCATGCACAGATAAGAACATGGAACTCAGAAGCAGGAGTAGGCCATTCAGCCCTACTCACCCATTCAATAAGATCATGACTGATCTGTTTATGGTCCCAATAATGGGTGGCATGGTGGCTCAGCAGGTTAGCACTGCTGCCTCAAAGCACTAGGGGCCTAGGTTCAATTCCACCCTCGGGCAACTGGCTGTGTAGAGTTTACACGTTCTTCCTGTGTCTGTGTGGGTTTCCTCCAGGTGCGCTGGTTTCCTCCTGCAGTCCAAAGATGTGCAGGTTAGGGTGAATTGGCCATGCTAAATTGCCCCAATTCAGTGATTTGGCCTGAGGTCTGATTTAAAACACATAAGGTTCTAACAGGGCTAGATAAACTAGTGATAGGAACAGAAGTATTCCCCAGTTGGGGAGCCTAGAAACAGGGCTCACAGTCTCAGGATATGGAGTAAGCCATTTAGGGCTGACATGAAACATTTCTTTACTTAGAGGGTGGTCACCCTGTGGAATTCACAGCCACTGGAGGCTGGGCCATTGAGTACATGCAAGGAAGAGATTGATAAAGCTGTGGATATTAAATCCATCAAGGGGTACGTGGAGAAAACAGGAATATGGCATTGATATAGAGGATCATATTGAATCATGGAACATGCTTGAAGGGCTGAATGACCTATTTCCTCTCCTAGTTTCTATGTTTCTAAGTGAATTCGTACTCAACCTCTTCCCAAGTCTGTCCTCATGTTATCCAAGGTCTGGGAAACCCAGTCAGACATTGTTAAAGAGAGGCTGCAGCCCTATTAAAATAATCCAATTCCTGACCTACCCCGATGGGCGAGTATGAGATTTTAATAACTTCTAGCACCTGACCCGACTGCAACCCACCCATTGTTTTGGGAGCCAAAATTCAACCCATTATTTCCACTTGGTATAAATACCTCTCCCCTTTCAGTGCCTGAAGGTGCTGATTCTCACTGAAGTCTAACTGCATTCAGTTCAATGGTCTTTGAATATCTCCCAAAAATGGCCATCGTTCATGTGGAAACCAATTTAGAGTTCAACCACAGGTGGTTCTGCAGCTGAGCACAACCTTCCTCTCTGCCAATGTTTACATTCAGGCCGTTTCTTACAGGCCTCAGTGGAAAAACTAACAGAGGCAAGATTCCTGGCTAGGGCTGTTTTTCGGAGGGCCTTTAGGCCATCTGCATGGGGAGAGTCCAGACCTGAAACGTCAGCCTTCCTGCTCCTCTGATGCTGCTTGGCCGGCTGTGTTCATCCAGCTCTACACCTTGTTATTGCAAGATTCCTGGCTGCTGCTTATATACCCTGCCTAGCCCAGGACAGAGATCTGTGATAGACCCCTGTTACTTTGGCCATACTTGCCCAGCTATGCACGGGTCAGGAAGCAAAACTGGCCCCTTCTGATCTGTACGTCTTGTTGCAAATCTGAGCGGCTCACCTGAAAGCCAAAAGCGCAGTATGAAGGAATGCTAAGTCTGCCATTTGTGTTTCTATGTTAAAGAGACAAAAAGAACAGAATGTGAAAATACACATGTGAAAGCATGCAGACAGCACAGAACATCATTCGAGACACAGGACAATAAAGTGGAGCTTCATTAGCTGTGAGTGAACATAAAGTGCAAATCCAGAGGTGCTCATTGGATGGTTGTGATCTGGAATGCACTGCCTTAAAGGGAAACTTAAGCAGATTTAGTGGTAACTTACAAAGGAAATTGGATAAATACTTGAAAGGGAAAATATTCCAGGGCTTCGGAAAAGGGAGTGCAACTAATAGAATAGTTCTTTCGAAGAGACTAGCATTAGCACAATGGGCTGAATGGCTTCCTTCTGTGCTCGATTATTCTATAGGAATAGGAACAAGTTGAGCAAGGTAATGTTTAATGCAATTTACAGGAGCAGTCTGTGCATTGTGTAATCACAAGTATACTCAGATAGTCACACAATTCGCAGCAAGTACATTTGTAAGTATATTCACTTCCTGTGGAGTTACACATACAGGTATACCTGGCCTACAACCGAATCAGTCCATCAGAAGAAAGGAAATGGAATGGGAGCATACATACAACAATGACATTTCCACTTAACCATGGCCAAGCTTCTAATGACCTGCATTATTGAACAATCACAGGAGTACCAGGGCTGAAACGAAACATTTCTTTACTTAGAGGGTGGTCACCCTGTGGAATTCACACCCACTGGAGGCTGGGCCATTGAGTACATGCAAGGAAGAGATTGATAAAGCTGTGGATTCACTTGCTTTGAGGTGTGTTCTTATTATGCAATGTATTGAGATGAAAGGATTATGGGCTAATCAACTCTGTTCCCTTGGAGCGGCAGTTTCAATGACTTAATTTGCTGAAGTTATGACTCATTGATGGCCCAGCACTGCTATTGAGAACTGCAGGTCACAGTGGAATCAAGAGGAAGTTCAGGCTTAGTCTACTCTAGCCTTCCTCATAGTACTCCAGGTGTGGTCTCACTAAGGACCTATAATTACAGTTTACTGTTATACTCAAATTCCTTGTAATGAAGGCTAACCTACCACTTGCTTTTCCTAATCACTTGTAGTCCCTGCATGTTAACTTCCTGTGACTCATGTAACAGATACCTAAGTCTCTCTGAGTGACAACATTTCTCTGTTTCTCACCATTGAAAAGAACAAAATCGGCCTTTCTACCCCTTGTCAACTTGAATAGCTCCATACTTCCCACCCTCGCTACCTCATTCTCTTCCACTTGTCACAATCTGCCCATATCGCTTGGGCAGAATATTTGGATTCCACGAAGGTAGGCATTGGAGGAGGACAGGTGAAGAAATTCGCTCACACAGCCATCTTTGAGTTGGGGTAAGCATTCCTGGCATCTTGCCATTATTTAGGAAGCTTGACTCGTTCGATCCTGCCGTCAAAGACTGGGCCCAGTATGTGGAAAGAATGTGTTATTTTTTCCAGGCAAATGACATTGGGGCAGATGTAAAGCAAACAGTAATTCTCCTGACAGCTTGTGAACCTGCAGCTTTTTCGGTTTTCAGGAGCCAAACTTTCCCTGAGCCACCAGATACTAAACCTTTCAAGAGTTGATGGATTTAGAGAACTAATATTATGACCCAAAGCCTCCTCTAATTCTGAGTTGCTTTCAGATTTATTCAACAATTTGAGAATCAGAGAAATCTGTATTGGGATTTTTAACGAGTTTAAGATGACTAGCAGAGTCATGTGACTTTGGTTTAACCCTTAATGAGACTCTGAGAGACCGTTTGGTATGTGGCATTAATGATAACTTAAGTTCTCTCTGAATAATTGGAGGAGGCAAAGAGGTCAGAGTGCAACATTGTGGAAGATTGAGAGATCACGGTGATTGGGTGACAATGGTGATTGGGAAACAGTGGCCCCTTGGAGGCAACAGTGATGAAGTCTGAGGTTCTATGCTGCACCATAACAGTACTACATGCTATCCTTAGGTGTGACTTTCAATCGAACACATCTGTTGAAGATTCAATATACCAAAGTAGTTTAGAAGGAGGACCATTGGAATTTTGTGACTGAGGAATAATTAACTGGCACTCATGTAAAATGAATTGGCAATCAATTCACTGAAACCTTTTAAATATCTATTGCAAATATACAGTGAAGTAAGTTAACCAATAATTACCAGCCAAGTGCAATCTCTGTATTGAGCAGCTGCAGTTGTAAGTGCTGTGAAATTCAGGAAACAGTGTCAACAGCACCTTAAGTGGGAATCCTTGAACCTTAGAACAAATTTAGCACATTTTACCCATGTCTTTTGTGTTATTATGTGTAACCATTCTGCAGAGGAATAGTGTGTCTAATCCTATCACAGATAAAAAGGGAGAAAGATGTCTTCAAAGGTGCAAACTTTTCCTAAATCCAACATAAAATCTAAATGTAAATTTATAACAAAAATGCTGCCTCTTCTCTAAATGTTGAATCACTGGCAGTTGAATCTCAGAGTCTCAGGCCTGTATATAGACCTCTCTGCATTCATTCTGTTCATCTGACATCTCGATGACAATGGAGCCCACATCCATGCGGCGGTCACTTGAGACAGCCCACATGAAATAAGTCACTAGCCTGCTTGATACTAAGTACAGCAATACATTCAGCCAGTTGTAAGAAGTGGATCCTTTCCAGGATTCATTTTTAGAGTGATACATGTATCTAAACAATTTACATTTAGTGTCATTTCTGGCTGTAAGCAAAATAAACTCTATACACACTTGATCATTACACTTGAAGGGTAATTTTCTGCCTCTGCACAGTGGCAATGAAACGTGCCCAATAGCAATACATATCAGGTACATAGACCTGCCAGAATTTTGAATGATTGTGGTTCAAGTCGCACCCCTGAATAAAGGACCTGATCCACACTGATATTTCAGTGCCACACTGAGCAAGTAGGTCATTGTCTGAACATAGCATGGCTGTTGGGAGAATGATATCATGATTTAGTGCTCTATAATTACAAGACATTTTATTTTACTGTTGTAATTTTGACTCCTATTGCTAGTCCTTTGGAATGTGTTGTAATGATTTTTGTCCTCTTCTTCATCGGTTGGTAGCCAACATTATTTCAACATGAACATTGGCCACAAAAAACGTTAATTGTCCCAAATTTCAGGTATTTTTATTAAAGAGTGAGAGGGTGACAAAAGGAGGAAGATACAAATGGAAAGCTCTGTAATTCAGGGGCTGTAATTGATGGACTTGTGAATGAGGAATTTTCCTTTAAATCTCATTTATAATCCTCACCTTTTAAAATTCAGATATTTACCTTCTCGAGCAATGTAGTGGAACTGACAGATTAAATGCACCATAGTAGCAAAGTGTGATTTTGAGTTTCTATTGCAGGTCTGGTTCAGACAGTAAAAGATCACATCACAAAACCAACAGCAATGGCACGTGGCCGAGTGGCTCACCTAATAGAGTGGAAGGGTTGGGGTGCCCATGGCAGAGGCTCTAATATATGTTCGATGGATGAGGTCCACTATTCCAACCTCACTGATGAGCTGAAGGAAGCTCGTTTTGCAGCAGGTAAGATGGATAGGAATGAAACTGTGACATCCTACCACAAGACACACTGACATGGAGGTAAAGCAATCAGTTACACTGGGGTTCTAAGGCAAATGTCTACTCAATCAATGAGTGTGGGATCATTCCCACCCTGTCCCAGTTTTATCCATCATTTCACTGTGTTTTCAAGTAGCAGTACGCGGAATGGTCAAAGAATTTCAAACTGATGTAAACCCGATGTACATATGTAAAGTATGATTTGTCTGAATAGCGCACAAAATAATATTTTTCATTGTATCTAGATACATGTGACAATAATAAATCAAGTCAAATCTGTACAGTTTCAATTTTGATTCACTCTTAACCCAGTGATCTGAATTGCAACATGTTGTAAGCCAGTGTTGTTCTGTGCTAAGATATTAATGTTCAAACTCGCTCTAGATGTACCCAAGGTCAGGAGCATTTACTTCTCTCCTTTCCAGCTCACAATTATTACTTCAAAACTGGGGGAAAAAAGTGCTCACAAGCACAGCCATGTGAAAACTTTTTTTTTCTGGAAATCCATCATATAAAACGATGCTGAGATATCAAGGTGTAGAGCTGGATGAACACAGCAGGCCAAGCAGCATCAGAGGAGCAGGAAGGCTGACGTTTCGGGCCTAGACCCTTCTTCATTTTTCTGAAGAAG